AGTCCAACATGAGCTTTGAAGACTCTACTACAAGTCAGGCACAAATAGTGATTTTGAACATTTGGGATAGAGATGTTTTTAGATCTGCACACCTCACATTTCCCTTGCATTACTGCAGTTCTGCTTTGCTTATAAAGCACAGTGCCTTTGTTGATGCAGGCATGCCATTTTGGACAATCTTGTGCCAACATCTCCCAAGTCTCACAATTGATACTAAAGTTCTTAAGAGAGACCTGGAGAGTGTCTTTGCACCATTTCTTCTGATCTCTGTGGTTGCCTTGTATGCTCCATCTAACTGTCCTAATAATGATAAAGTTCTTAGGAGTTACATATATCATCTTGCCGTATAGGAATGTAAACAGTTTAACCTTATTGGGTCCCTTATGATTTTTCTCTTGTGTTTACCTTTTTATGCTTCTCTTAAGTCTTGTACCTAAATATCAGATTTTCTCTTCATTTTTGTCCTTTTCATCATGAATTCTCGAAAGTCTTCTGTTTCATTAAATATGCGTTCTTTCTCCTAAACAACTATATTCAGTTTTGCTGGGTAGGTTATCCTTATTTGTAATCTTAACACCTAGCTCTTTCTATTTTCCAGGTCAGTTGTTTTTCTGCTGATACATTTCACATTTTTATCTATTTTTCATTCTTTTGACTTTGTTTCACTATTTCTTGATGTCTCATGGAGTCATTAGTTTTCATTTAACCAATTCTAAATTTTAAGGAATTATTTTCTTCAAAAACTTTTTGTATTTATTTTTCCATTTGCCTAATTCTGCCTTTTGGGGGCACCTGTGTGGTGCAGTGGATAGAGTGCCAGGCCTGCAGTCAGAAGACCCAAGTTCAAATCCAGCCTCTAACACTTACTAGCTGTGTAACCCTGGGCAAGTCACTTAACTCTGTTTGTCTTAGTTTCTTCATCTGTAAGATGATCTGGAGAGGGAAATGGCAATCCACCTCCAGTATCTTTGCCAAGAAAACTGCAAATGTGGTCACAAAGAATAAGACACAACTAAAAACTACTGGACAATTCTGCTTTTTAAGGAGTTATTTTCATCAATGAAATTTTGTACCTCTTTTACCATTTGACCAATTCTGCTTTTTAAGGAGTTCTTTTCTTCAGTTCTTTTTCTTCATACCTCTTTTTACCAGGTTATTCTTTTTTTCATAATTTCCTTACATTGACCTCACTTATTTTTTTAATTTTTCCTCTATCACTCTAATTTGATTTTAAAATAATTTAATTTTAAAATAATTATTTTGATTTTTAAAAAGTGCTTTCTGGGGCAGCTAGGTGGTACAGTGAATAGAGTACCAGCCCTGAAGTCAGGAGGACTTGAGTTCAAATCCGGCCTCAGACACATAACACTCATTAACTTTGTGACTCTGGGCAAGTCACTTAACCCCAATTGCCTCACCAAAAAAAAAAAAGTGCTTTCTTCAACTCTTCTTCTTGGACTTGTATCCAGTCTGCATTTTTCTTTGAGGCTTTGCTTTTTTGGTATTTTCTGTTCTTCTCTGTGTCAAGAACCTCCCTGTCCCCATGTTAGCTTTTTTATGATCAGGTTCTTTTTTTGTGGTTTGCTCATTTTTCCAGCCTGTTTCTTGACTTTGGACTTTATGTTAGTTGACCTTTGCTCACTTGGAGGAGGGTAGAGAGTCACTGTCCCAAGTTTCAAGTTTTTTCGTAGTGCTATTTTCACAGCTAGTTTGGGAGGGAGGGGTATGTAAGTTTTTTGTGCTTCCAAGGTCATGTGATGAAGGAAGAGGTGTGGTCACTGCTCTCCTGGCCTGCCCTTGCTTCTTATCCAGGTAAGGGGCCCTGGTCCCCTGCAACCATTAGGGATGCCCTAGAACCGCAACGGGTAATTTGGGTATGGAGTTTCTGAATATTCGTCCTCCACCCAGTGCCAACACAGGCAACTTAGACTAATTGTCTAATCCCCTTCTTGTCTCAGTGGTAAGAACTTCTGAAATTGCTGATGCAGTTATTGACACCTCCAAGGCCCACAGTTGGTGTTGCTGCTCTGTGCTCTGGGGTAGCTCTCACCTCAGTGTCATCAACCTTTCCTTCAGATCTCCTGTGTTGTCTTGGGCTGGAAAATTGACTTACCCCAATCTTTGTTGGCTATGCCAGTGGAATTTGCAATGTAATTTGATTTGATATGTTGTTTTCAAGTTGTTTGGGGGTAGCTATTTGGCTGGAATGTTCCCTCTACTCTGCCATCTTGGTTCCATTCCCATTTTCAGATTTTGATGCAGCTGCCTGATACAAAAGGTGGCCTAACCTTTTCTATATGTCTAAATCTGCTGTTGAGGTTTTCTAACATAATTATTACTACTGGTTTCCAATAATTAAATTCTAGGTAAAACCAGAGGAAACATAATCAACCTTAGCAACTATTGTAACAATATACCTCTATTTGTATTTGAAAAAACCCAGGCCATATGAGTGTGACTTAAGCCTTTAGGCTCAGGTTGAAAAAAATAGTTAATTAAATTAAGTATAATAATGACAATGACATGGTATTCCAAAATTTTTAGGATATGGCCAAAGCAAGCCTAGGGGGAATTTTTTTTCATCCTGAAACACAATAACAAAAAAGAGAAATAGATCAATGAATTGAGAATGCAAGTAAAATATTAGAAATCCAACAAAGAGCCTCAATTAAACACCAAAATAGAAATCATTAAAATGAAAAAAAATAAATTGAATACAAAACCTCAATGAACAAGCAATAAAGCTAGAAGCTTTTAAAAAAATGATAAAGTGGACAAATTACTATCTAATTTGTTTAAAATGGAAAGAAAAACCAAATGGCTAGTATCAAAACTGAAAATGAATTCATAAAAAATGAAAATGAAATAAAAGATATTATTAGAAACTATTTAGTCAACTCTATGCCAACAAAATAATCAGTTAAATAAACTATATGAATATTTTGAAAATAATAAGGTATCCAAATTAGTGGCAAAAAATAGAGAATTTTAGTACCTTAATTTCATAGGAAGAAATTGAACAGCTCACAAATGAAATTCCAGAGGAAAAACTTCCAGGATTATATGGATTCACAAGTGAATTTTATAAGAAAATTCAAAGAATAATTCAATTTTGCAACTAGATCCAAAAAGTATTCATTGTAGGATGAGCCATTATAATAAAAAATTACTATACTACCCAAAGTAATTTATTTATTCAATGCTGTGTCAAGTAATCTAACAAAGGATTATTCTATAGAACTAAGAAAAGTAATGATGGAATTCACATGGAAAGGAAAAGATCAAGAATTTTTAAAAAATGAGGAGAATCAGGAGAACAATTTATACAATAATAATAACTCTGTGAAAACAAAAACTTTGGAAACTGTAAAACCTATGATCAATAAAATGACCTTCCAGGATTTCAGAGAAACAGTGAAAAAACATGGTGCATAGTAAAGAAAGGTAATGGAATTAGGGGGCAACATTTTATGTGTGTGTATGTATGTGTGTAGGTGTTTTTATATACAGATATGTGTTTTTATATACAGATATATGTGTATATATGATATATATGTATGTACATATATACAGAGTATATACATATGTATATAAATATATATACATTTTGTTTGTATTTATTCATTTGCAATTTGTTTAACTATGTACATTTCTTACAAGAATTTTTTCTTTTCTCTTTTTTTTGAATGAGGTGGAGGACGAGAGAGATAGACATAAAATGGATTTCAATTTTCAAACACTGAAAAGGGCATGCTACAGATGTGAAATGTTGCGTGCACTTTCAGATGAAATCACTGTATTATTAGCTTTATGTAACTTTTACTTTTTTACATGCAAAACAGCAACAAAACTTTCCAAAAGGAGGAAATTAAGCGCATAAATTTCCATCTTCTCTTACACCAGGCAGTTGTTTTTACAGATTGGTTGAAATTTTTGCACCTTCGTTTCATCAGCAAATGTGTTCTAAAGCCATAGGAAGTCTTTCTTTGGATGATGTTCCCTCCAAGTTCCCTGAGCAAAGCTGGCAGAGCTAGAACAGACAGACAAGTAAACATCAGAATAGGAAATGACAAAGCACAGCTAAGATTGCTGATCTTTTTTGTCTGTAGTTTTCTTTCATAAGCCTGTTGTGAAACTGTCCTATTTACAAATAATAAGCACAGGTCTCCTAAATGCAAAGAAACATTTAGGGCCATTGAAATCATTCGTCTTTTTGTGTCTGACTTTAGCTAAAAAATACAAATGGATTAGTATTCCCACTATACACATATCAATGCCAAAGAGGATGACAGAGTGCAAAGCACTGTATTTGAAGTCAGAGGACACAGATTCAAATCCAAACTCCACCACTTACTACCTGTATAATCTTGGGCAAATTACTTATGTGTTCTAAGGATGTCAGTTCACTCATATGTAAAATGATAAAGTTGGACTAGATAATTGCTAGGGTACTTTCCAATCCTAAATCTATGAACAATAGTCTGTGGAAACCAGCTCCTCCAGCATCATATCTGATAAAGCACTTTAAGCTTGCAAAGGGCTACAAATATGTTGTCTTTTTTGCTCTCATAATTACTAGGTTCCCCAAAATAACTAAATAAATTTGCACTCCAGGCAAAAAAGGTACTCTTCCCTATCCTAACCACATGACTTAGAAGATGCATATTATTTACTTATCCATCAAGATAAGTTTTGTGCAACTGAGGCAATAGCATCAGATTAATTCTGTCTTCCCCTATTTTTCTAATTTACCTAAAACAAGTTCTCAGTGCCTGAAATTAAAGTTTAAATGTGAGTAAGATGTGTGTCATAGCAGGTGATGTATCCTTGACTTTGGATTTAATGTCCTTACAGGAGTGAGGAAGAGATGATAGTAAGAAGAGAGAGGAGAGGGAAGGTTTCAGATTCAAACTTAGTATATGCATATTTAGATAATTGTTTCTTGTTACTTACCTATGGACAAAAAGAACATGACCTATTTTTATCCTTTTCTTTTACAGTTCCTGTGATGGATGCATGCTTGATCCAGGCTGTGGATTCTGCTATAAGATGAACAAATCAGATGTGGTTGACTCCTCATGTGTTCCAGTCAATAAAGCATCAGCAAATGAGGCTGCCTGGGGCAGGTATACAAACTGTTAATTACCATCCAATTCTATGCCTTTTTATGTTTAAACAGAACTGCCTTTCAGTTTCATGTTTATAGTTGAGTCACTTTGGATCTTGAAAGAGGCTACTAGTTGAACTATGTCGTATTGGTTTTCAGAATGTGCTTGGTGGCTGTCAAATACTGCAGAGTAAGAACAAGCAATAAAATCCACCTTTGTCCCACAACTTTATTTCAGAAAAGATAAGCAAAAAGCATCAGACTAAGTAGTGAGGAGAAAATCTAAAGAGACACCAATGTGGCTCTTTTTATTCTAGCTTAAGGCATAGATTCAGCCTATGGGCATATAATCAAGGGCAGGGACTACTATTAGAAGTGAGTCTAAGGCTCTGTGGCTCTGACCCCAGGACATGAGGAGAGTAACTAGGGAAGAGAATCCTATCGTGTAGAGGCTGTCACCCTGACCTGATTTTGGATTTTGGATTCAGTCCACAAAGCTGGACGGAAGCCAGTAGCTGAGTAGCAAGGGAAAGACTGAAGGGCAGGAGTGAGCCTGTTCAGCCCCTCTAAACCTAGAGAACCTCCAAGGTAGCTGATGAGGACTGTAGCTATGAATTTTTTCTAGAACTCCAAGCAAGGGAAAGCCTGTAATTGTGTTACCCAAACCCAGACCAGGGTCAAAAGCCTGCAAGGCTTGAATTAGTCTAGCAGCAATCAAACTTTTTCTTATATCAAACTTATTTTTGTTGTTTTTGTTCAATCATTCTTTTTAGTCAGTCTCACTCTTTGTGATCCCAAGTTCTGGAGTTTTCTTGGCAAAGATAGTGGAGTTGTTTGCCATTTCCTTTTCCAGCTCATTTTATAGATCAGGAAACTGAGGCAAACAGGGTTAAGTGATTTGCCCAGGGTCACACAGCTAGTAAGTGTCTGAGGCCAATTTACAGTCAAGAAGAGTTTTTACGACTCCAGGCCCAGCACTCTATCCACTGTGCCACCTAGTTGCCCCTCAGACTACTTGGGGCACACTGAAAATTTACAGCTCCCAGGTGTGAGTCACTTCTGACATCCCTTCTCCAGTGGAGGACCACAAAAGCAGGCCTATGCAAGGCAAAAATATACCCTCCAAAAGTGCACATACCATGACCCAAAAACAAAGTCCCATTTCAGGAAGTTAAAATTGGATGAATGAGTAAATGAGAAAAGACACAAATAATAAAGAGCATGGGACAGCCAAGAAATAAACCCAGAAAAAAATAACCCCAAAATATCCATAAGCAGAACTTCAAAGAAAATCACAGCTTAGTCAAAAGATCAAACACAGTTACTAAAAGAAATGAAGTGCCATACCAATCAAACTACCAAAAATTATTTTATAGAACTAGAGAAAATAATAACAAAATACATCTGGAAGGACAAAAGGTCCAAAATATCAAGGGAATTAATGAAAAGAAATACTAGGGAAGGTGGCCTAGCTATACCAGATCTTAAATTGTATTATAAGCAGCAATCATCAAGACTACTTGGTGCTGGCTAAGAAATAGAGTGGTAGATAAATGGAATAGGTTAGGTACACAATACACAGTAGTCAATGACTACAGTAATCTACTGTTTGATGAACCCAAAGACCCCAGCTTCTGGGATAAGAACAAAAACTGCAGTATGCCATATTAACATCTTATACCATATAACAAAATAAAGTCAAAATGGGTACATGATTTAAATATAAAGGCTGATACTATAAGCAAACTGGAAGAGCAAGGAATAGTTTACCTGTCAGATTTATGGAGAATGGAAGAATTTATGACCAAACAAGAGGTAGAGGACATTATGAAATGCAAAATGGATAATTTTTATTACATTAAATTAAAAAGTTCTTACACAAACAAAGCCAATGCAACCAAGATTAGGAGGGAAGCAGAAAACTGGGAAAGAACTTTTACAACCAGTGTCTCTGATAAAGGCCTCATTTCTAAATATATAGAGAAGTAAATCAAATTTATAAGAATACAAGTCAATTGATAAATGGTCAAAGGTAATTAATTTTCAGATGAAGAAATTAAAACTATCTATAGTCATATGAAAAAAATTCTCTAAATCACTATTGACTAGAAAAATGCAAATCAAAACAACTCTGAGGTACCAAATCACATTTATCAGATTGGCTAACATGACAAAACAGGAAATGATAAATGCTGGAGAAGATGTCAGAATATTGAAATGCTAATGCATTGTTGGTGGAGTTGTTAACAGATCCAGTCATTCTGGAGAGCAATTGGGAACTATGCCCAACGTATTATAAAAACACGCATACCCTTTGACCCAACAATAACAGTTCTAGGTCTGTATCCCAAAGAGATCATCCAACTGGGACAAGGATCCACATGTATAAAATATTTATAGCAGCTTTTTGTGGTGGCAAAGAATTGGAAATTGAGGAGATACCCATTAGTAGGGGAATGGCTGAACAAGTTGTGGCAGATGAATAAAATGGAATACTATTGTGCTATAACACAGACTTCAGAAAAACCTGGAAAGATTTGAAAGAACTGATACTGAGTGAAGTGAGTAGAACCAGGAGAACATTGTATATAGTAATAGCCACAATGTGCAGTGACTAACTTTGATAGACTCATGTCTTCTTAGCAATGCAAGGATCCAAGACAACTCATGATGGACATGATGCTGTCCACATCCAGAAAAAGAACTATGGAGTCTGAATGCAGATTGAAGCTTATTATTTTCTCTTTCTTTTTTCTTTTCTTTTTGTTTGTTTTTTTCTTTCTCGTGGCTTCTCTCATTGGTTGCAATTCTTCTTTACAACATGACTAATGTAAAAATAGGCTCAATATGAATGTATATGTAGAGCCTGTATCACATTGTATGCCATTTTGGGGTGGGGGGGAGGGAAGAGATAGGGAGAAAATTTGGAACTCAAATTCTTATGGAAGTGAATGTTGAAAACTAAAAATAAATAAAGTCTTACTAAAAACAAAAAAGAAAATGAAGAAAGATTTAAAAAATTAAAATAACATTATAAATGAAAGCAATAAAGGGGAATAATTGGAAAAGGAAGGAGAGTTTGTAGGAAAAACTGAGCTAAATTAATGGCTTATTACAAGAGGGATAAAATGTTACTCAAGAAACAGACCCATAAAATTGGTATGGACCAAATGTTATTGACTCCATGAGGTAACAAGAAATATTGAAACAAATTCAAAGGATGAAAAAATAGAAGAAAATATAAGATATATTTAAAAATTGACCTGGGAGCCAAGGAAGATAATTTAAGTGTCATTGGACTATCTGAAAGCCAGACCAAGAAAATAGCCTGGATATCATGTCAACACATTATGATTGAATCTTACTTAGAACTTTTAGAAGCAGAGGGTAAGATAAAAACAGGAAGAATCCAAGGGTCACCTGAAAGAAAACTAAAAATAAAGGTGATGTCCTAGTGTCACATTAGAAATATGATAGCCAGGGCAGCTAGGTGGTGCAGTGGATAGAGCACTGGCCCTGGAGTCAGGAGAACCTGAGTTCAAATTCAGCCTCAGGCACATAATACTTCCTAGCTGTGTGACTCTGGGCAAGTCACTTAACCCCAACTGCCTCACTAAAAAAAAATAATAAAATTAAATTAAAGTTAAAAATTTTAAAAATATGATAGCTAAAATCTAGAGCCTCCAGGTCAAAGAAAAAATATTATAAGCAACTAGAAAGACTATCAGACTTCCTACCAAAGAATTTTAGGATCTCACAGACTCCCCAGTATGCCTTAAGTTGACATTTGATGAATAAAACACCAAATTTAGTTTTTCTACAGCACTTTCTATACAGAAATACTCAGGAGCCACAGTCAGGATCATAAAGATTTCACAGCCTTCATTATAAATGAACAGAGAGAATGTAAAAAATCTAACAACCAAGAATAACTTAGCCAGTAAACTGAATAAAATCATTTCAGGGGTTTGGAGTAGAGGATGGCTCTTTATAAAATAGAGGACTTCTAATCATTTCTGATGAAAAAGTCATATCTGAGTAGAAACTTTGAAACACAAACACTGTAGTTAAGAGTAACATAAAAAGGTTGTTATGATTGAGCAATGAGCACTATACAAGGATAAATGTTTACATTTTAATATGGAAAGGAACAAATAAGGACCCCCTCTGAACTATAATTTCATTAAGGGCCATAAAGGGAATTAAGTAAGACAGAGAGCCTGAGAGTGGTATTTTTATGTTTTGATGATCTTTAAAAAAGAAAGAAAAAGGAGGAGAGGAAAGAATACAATAGAGAAGAAAGGTAAAGAATGGTGGAGGGATTTTACAGTTTCACGCAATCTCACACAAGCACAAGGCTGTACAAAAATGGATGAAGATAGAAGACTGTGCATCACTTAAACCTCAAATCTCAACTTGTCAGAGATGTGTAGAACACTTATATTTGGTATAGAGAAAAAATGAACTCAATCAGGAGAGATGAGGGAATGGGGAGAGAAGGGACTAAAAGGGATGATAGATAAGGAAGTAGTCATTAAGTAAAACAAACAAACATTGGAGGATGGTTTGTAATGAAGAATTTAAAGTGAAAAAAAGAAAGGGTAAGAATCCATGACTAGGCTTATGAAAGTGGAAGAAAAGAGAGGCAGGGGAGTGGAAGCAAATTGTCGCAAGCATAGAGAACTTGTACTGAGCACCCTCCTTTTCTCACCACTTAATGAAAAGAGGACATGGGGAGAAGAGAGGAAAAATTATAAATGAATAGGATGCACAATTAATTATCATAACTTTGGATGTGAGTAGGATGAGCACATCTATAAAATGAACAAGAGTAATACTGGATTAGAAAGCAAAACCCACTAATATAGTGTTTACACAAAAATACCTAAAATGTAGTCACAACATTAAACAAAGGGCTGGAGGTATTATACTTCAGTTGAACTAAAAAAAAAAGTCAGGAATCACAATCATGATCTCAGACAAGGCAACATCAGAAATAGAACTGATTCAAAGAAATAA